GGGTTTGCCAAACTGCTGCATCTTGTCTTCCAGAAATTAAAACTTACAAAATGTACTCCTGGTGTCTAAATGCACTGTATCATTAAATCAAATCTTTCTCCACCCCTTAATTTTTTCATTCTTTATTTAATTTCAACATAGATACCCTCACCTGCTTCCTACACTTTCCCCAGAGCAAAGAGCCTACAGCCAGGTGAGAGAGATGGAAACAGAACTTGTTGCTGCTCAGCATCACAGCTGGAATAGATCTGGTCTTGCTTTCCTACATCCTCTGCTTAGCTACCAGGCAAAACCAGCAGGGCACCATTTCCCTTCTTTCAGCCACATTTAAAGGAGTATCCATTTGTCTTTGAATGTAGGAGACAACATTCAGCTGCTGGTTAAGCGCTGTAAACCACAAGCTGAAGAAGACCAGCCTCCAATCTTCAGTCCTGGGCCCTGGTCACTGAACAGGATCACAAAAGGCTTAGGCTTGTTCCCTTCCTTGCTCCTTTAGGCTTGTTCCCTACACAGGTAGCAATTCCCAGTATAGGGCAGTGAGTGTTTCCCAGCTGGGTCTGACCAGTTCACACCAGCACAACATACAGTGGGATGCCAAGTTCACACTCAGCAATGCAGATCAAAATCCCCTGTGTGTAAAGAGAAAGGAATAACTCCAGACTCACACCAAGAGCACAAACAAGATCAAAAGCAGGATGGCAGATTTCAAATGTGGCATCCCCTGCCCTCAGGTAGCAGCATGCTGAAGGTCCATTTGGACTTGTGCAATGCACAATCTTGCTGTTGTTACATCATGAACCCAGACAGAATGAAAGGATTTATTTATATACTCCTCCTGATCACAGCCACAGGATTTGGCTGGGCTAGCATGTGTCCCATTTCAGCACAACAAGCTGACAAAGATTTACACATAACTTGCTGTGCAGCAGTGACTACAGAGACAGTGAGAGAGAAAGGAGCTGTGTAGGTCTCAGTACATTATTTCTGACAGGTAAGACTCTGTGCTCCTCATTGTACTGATAATGAGTTCTATCTTATTTCAAAACTGTATTATGTGAGTTGCTGCAAGTATTACATAGTTTATTAATATATATGGAAATGCAGATTTAGATTATTCCTCTGGGAAGTTTCAATTTGAACTTGGCCAGGATCAAATGCTTCTCTGACAAAGAATTATGTACAGCATTAAATAACCATTAAAAATGCAAGACATTTGTCTGCAAAGAGAGTTGTGATTATATAACAACAAAATTAATCATATGATTGCTCAGGTTAAACACATCAAATCTGACTTGGTGCTGAAAATACACTTCAGTGTTTGCCCAGGACTAGTGACTGATGTGCCACAGGTGGAGAAAAGGGCACTGCCAAGGTCAGTGTCTTTAAGAAGATTGTTGTAAACCATCTCTCCTTTCAGAACCATGTTACAGGCCTTCTCCAGCCCCAGCTCAGCAGGCCACGCAGACCATCGAGTGCTACCAGGTTACACACTCGCTCCCTGGGTGCACTGCAAGGGAAGCAAGACCACATCCCTCTCCCTCTCTCACACAGTGATGGAATTAAATCATTACAGCAAATACCAAAACATCAGATCTGTCTTAAACCAGTAATGGCAGATTTCAGTTTTAATTTCTAAAATATCAACAAGAGATCTGACTGATAGATGCAATGAGTCTCATCACATCTCCATACAGGTTTTGTCTGTCAGCTGAGTTCTTTGAGGTCAGAACTGGGCTAGCATTAAACCACACTGGCCTGGCTGCTCCTACAGCAGTGTCAGCCTGCTAGCACATAGGCTGTGGTCACAGCAGGGCTGGACACTCCACAGCTCACTTCTGGTGCTCTGCCTGCCCTTTTCCACCAAGCAGATACTGGAGTATTGCTGTAACTACAGCACAGAAGAATGGAAGAACTGCAGAGGAGAAAGTCTTTTACAATATTAATTTCATTACACATCACAAGAGTGAAAGTTACAGAGGAAGACGAAACATTAGAAATTAACACAGAAAGTACTCTAAATGCAAACAGCATGGAGAAGGTCGTGTCCACCTTGCTTTGCCATGAGTCATAACGGTCCTGTTGACTCTGAATGTATTTTCAAGTTGTTAAGTTAGAAAACTAAGGCAAATAAATTTTCATCACACTGATGAAAAATACATGGCAAAAAGAAAGTATCCAGAGTCTATCTGCGTCAATCAGTGTGGTCTTTTTAGTTTGAATTGTTCCTATTTAATATTGCAAAGAACAATTTTATTTGCTGTGCAGTTTCTTTACTTAGTCCAGACAGAAACTGAATTAATTCCTGGAAAACAAATTAATAGTTGTATGAAAACTTTTGTTTTATTGGTGTCACTGTTTAACTATAAACAAAACAGAATACTAAATTTCTCAGTGCAGCTGTAAAGGAGTAGAAATCTTGGACTGAGACCATAAGTCAGAATACCCTGGAGATGGATTTTCTTCTCAGCTATTGAACTTGTTCTTGGTTTTCATGCAAAAATTCTATCAGTTTAAATATACACTGGATTATTTTCACCCCTCAGGCACTAAGAACCACTTCACAGCTCTCCTCATCTTTGTATGGTTTCCTTTTTTCTTCCTGTGCTGCTTTACATGGGATTTTCTGCTTTTTTGGCACAAGTTCAAAAAGAGAGCTACACCTGATTATGAGATTTGACCTCCAAAGTAGGAGGAAGGGGGTTTTGCTCTGCTGGGGATGTGTCATCTTAGAAGATATTTTAATTTCTTTGCTGTGATACATTCCAGTCAGGGACCATAGAAGGTCACCATCCTTCGAAGTGTTGGAATTCCAGGTAGCCAAGAGAAACAATTTCAAGAGCAGCTGCTTGCTCCTCTTGGTCTTGAA